TATGGGAATCTTTGTTTACTTCCCTTATGGGAATCTTTGTTTACTTCCCTCTCTCTTACTCCATTTTCTTATTTTCTTTTCCTTTCTATTAGTAATCAAATTTAAAAATCTTATGTAACAATAATACGAGAATTAAGGTCACTTGCCAATATATCGTACTAAAAAAAACAGTCAAGTCAAATAAGGGCAAATGCGTAATTTAACAAAGAACAAGTTGCTGGTTTTTTCGTTATCACCACTCACATGAACTCTGCATTAAAAACTCTCTCTCTCAGATCGAAAAGCACAGCCCAACTTTTCGTAAGTCGCTGTAAAGTTGATTTGCTCCTTTTTTTATATACACACATCTCTTCTTCTCCTCCTAACCCTTTAAACACCTTCCTCTTCTCCTTCTTCAATCTCCATCTTTTTTCCAAACCCTAAAGAGATCAAAGAAAGATTCAAGATTTGTAAAACAAGAACTCAGATCAACATGTTAGCCGTTCACCGTCCTTCCTCCGCCGTATCTGACGGTGATTCCGTTCAGATTCCGATGATGATCGCTTCTTTTCAAAAACGTTTTCCTTCTCTCTCACGCGATTCAACCGCCGCACGTTTCCACACACACGAGGTTGGTCCTAACCAGTGTTGCTCCGCCGTTATCCAAGAGATCTCCGCTCCTATCTCCACCGTATGGTCCGTCGTAAGACGCTTCGATAACCCTCAAGCTTACAAACACTTCCTCAAAAGCTGTAGTGTCATCGGCGGAGACGGTGGTAACGTAGGTAGTCTCCGTCAAGTCCACGTCGTCTCCGGCCTACCCGCGGGTAGCTCCACCGAGCGTCTTGACATCCTCGACGATGAGAGACACGTCATAAGTTTCAGCGTCGTTGGTGGAGACCATCGGCTTTCTAACTACCGATCTGTCACGACGCTTCATACTTCTCCGATCTCAGGGACCGTCGTGGTGGAGTCTTACGTCGTTGATGTACCTCCGGGGAACACAAAGGAAGAGACTTGTGATTTTGTTGACGTTATCGTAAGATGCAATCTACAATCTCTTGCTAAAATAGCTGAGAATTCTGTTGCGGAGAGCAAGAAGAAGAAGACTTCCCTGTGAAATGAAAATGATGAGTTTGTTTCGATCGTCGACTTTGAGTAGTTTTCGTTAGATCCGACGTCGTTTTTTCTAGATTTTTTAGCCGTCGTTGTGTGATCTATGTATTTTTTTCCCTCGACGTATGTGTGAAGAAAAATACATTAGTGAATTATAAAATCTCTCATGCATTATAATCTTATATTATGCATTATCATTTACTTCTTCTTTTTCTGTATTTTATGTCGATAAAGAACTGATTCTGGATTAGCCCTATTCCGGCTTTCACCACCCAAAGATAATAAAAAATAATGATGATATTCAATTAGGAGAAATTTGTTGTGACGTCCTTTAAATATATAGCGAGATTTGCAAGTTAGCATATTGTTTTCTATCTAGCTTTAATCATAAAATGCGTAAATGTAGAATTCAGTATGTATATCTACTAAGATTACGTAATGCGTGACTTAGAATTAACTCGTAAATGAAAAACTTAGTATGTAACATTGAGTCGTTGGCCATCTTCTTCATTTCGACACTAAAACATACGTGTAAACAGCTTTTGAGAAAATTCGGCGATTGTTTTTAAAGAGAACTTTAAACTTTGCATAATATTATAATGTCTTCCTTTCCTTGAGGATTTAATTTAAATTGCCCATCCAACGGTTAACTTTCTTATGATTTCTATAGTGCATTGAGTTTCTAAAAACAAACAATTGTAACAAATAAAATCAACATTTTGATATTAATATAGATGAATGTTGATAGGAAAGAAATATAAAAAGTGAGAATAGTCGAAATTTCTAGGCGTAAGTAAAGGTCATAAAACAGTGAACATGTTGATGATATTAAAGAAATAAAAATTTGCAAGTGGACAATGCTTTGAATGATAACCCAACGAGCCAAGCTGTTCTTTTTTTTCTGCTTAATAAAAAAGGAAATGCAAGTTGCAACTTGTTTATTTCCACCTCCGTTCTTTATGCTTCTACCCAATCCAAAGTATCTAATATTAAACTTTTAGTAGCATATAAAAACAATATAGAATAGCGAGAAGCGCAAGTTGCATGTCCTTTTACATCACGAGAGTCACGATATGTTTCGTTTCCAAGCGATCTTCTTCTTTTTTTAGAATATATATAAATGTGATTTCATTTTTTTTCAATCTTTAAATCATACATTTCTATCCACACAAACAAACAAAAAAAATCTGTGATTGATGATCGACACAACATAAAATAAATCGTATAAAATGATTTCTTAAATCCAATTTTTTCAGTTTGTTGTATATCTATAACCGAAGTTCGTTACATGTACAATTGTGTAACCATTATAAAGCGTAAAAGTTTATTGTAAAATAACATAAACAAACATCGAAACGAATAGCAAATATAGTTTCGTACTTTCATTTACTATTTTTTGTGGTCGTCGAATATAACATAGCCTTACTAATCATAAGATACATAACTTGAAGTAGCAACGAAAGGTTTAAAAATAAAATGATGGGAAAAAGAGTTGGCGGTGCAAGTGGGAGTGGGGTAGCTGTAATGTTTTGCAAGTTGGGCTGAACATATTAATTGTGATTTTGCAAATTGAGTTTTATTTTTTCTTTTAACAAAATAAAATGAATAAATAAATCTTGCTTTTGAGATCCTTCACGGCACCGTTTCCTCTAATTTGATTGGACCTCTGTCCAAATTTCCGCTCGTTCGAGAGGAAGCAAAATAACGAAAAAAGAAGGAAAAAAAAATATCGAATACAAGAWTATATATGAATATAATTCCAACTTGTTAAAGATTAGTACTTTATAGCTTCTTGTTATATGAAGAAGGGGATAAACTGATGCTTCTTAAGGGAACCATCTATATCGGCGTACGGCTTTAACACTATTTTTGGGTCGGGTTAAGGTGGTTTTATCATTTGTCCTAAATAACTCATTTTATTTATTTTTGGTTGTCAACTTTTTTGTAGGAGGTCCAAAGGGAATAGAAAAGAATTCTTTTTCGATAATCAAGATGTGATTCAAGTTTTTATCATCTGATTAATTTTTTAGATTGAATAGCCCATTCATTTAATTTTTTAATAAATCTAAAATATGATACAATTCAACTGCCTAAATATTAGTGGTTATTTAATTCTATGTTTGTAGGAAATTGATTCATGACCTAGAAATTCTAGCCAATGTAAAAAAAATTAATATATTATCAAGAGGTTTTTTTAAATGAAAAATTAACTATTACAACGATATGATAATAAGATCATATAGTTTGAGAGAATTTTTATGATAAAATATAAAGAGTACAACAAAGTAAATTTTAAGAGAGTTAAAAAAGATATAGAGAAGAAACTATATATGAAATTTTAAAAAAATTGTTCTTGGTCGCCTCGGCCACCACGTCCCTGTACCTCGTCCTCTTACTATGGTATATTGCATTTGATCAATCTTACGCCTCTAGTATTTTGAGAAACAACACCTATCTCATAACCTGAATAATCTCTCGAACCTAAAGCAGTCAAGAGATTGCTACCATTGACATTATCTTGCACAACTTCATTAGCCAATGAACCTATAGAAAAGGTTAAAAGCATTATCATCTTGCACAACTTCATTAGCCAATGAACCTATAGAAAAAGGTTAAAAGCATTATCAATTTAGAAGGAATACCAATTGTTGATGTAGTGGCTATGGCAATGTATGGCAATGGGAGAATATTATCAAGATTATTCTTCAAAGTTCTTGGAAAATCTGTTTGAATCTTCTATATTAATATATGTTAAATATCTCACTTTCGTGACAA